GGGCAGCAACAATAGTACAGATAGCCAAGAAACCCAGAGAAATTGGTCTGCCAGTGGGAATGGACAGTTTCCATTGCAAGTTGCAGATTATCTGAGACTAGTCCTAGACTGGCATGTGTCCTGAACAAAGGCAGGGCTTTGTACTTTAGCAAAGTTTGGCACTGTCCCACACTAGACGGTAAGGACTCTTATCCTAAATTTCGACATTTTCAGTGTTGAAGACAGGTTCAGATCTAAGTAGGAAAAAATTTTTCTTTCTGGCAGATGTATCAAACCCATCCTTTGAGCAGAGCTGTAGCCCTAAGCCTTGTTTTGTTTTGGTATGGTAATACCAAAGGGCAGAGGTGGCAGTGCATGGTTACCAGTCATGTCAGCTTGGCTGTTTTGCAAGGGAAATTTCTTTCTCCGTAATAACTTTTTGCAGGCACGAAGGACTAAGGGGATGTGTTGTTCCCCACAGCTACCTTCATTCCCCACATACTGTTTGCTGTACCCATCTGCCTGCAGCTTTAATGTAACGCTCATTAAAGAAGTCCCAGATCAATTGCATGAAGAGAAGTGGGGTGTGCTGCCCTGAGCTTCTGGAGCCGTAATAATGTGCAAGCCAACAATGGGCCCAGTGTTCTTTCAGTGAATGATTAAATACTTGGCTCATAAATATCAATATTATGTAATACCGAAATCAAGTCAGCAAATTTTGACCGTATGGGAGACTCTCTGTTGGAGAAGATTTGAGTCTTCCAAAGTCAATTTGAGGAGCTTCTCATCAAGAGTTGGTGAGAGCAGTGGTAGTGACTTAATCCTCTGTCTCTCCCCATGCCCATCACCTCCTGGCTTGAGATTAACAGTGTGATCCAAAGGCTTGTGGGGTTATTTGAGTAGGCCCAGGACTGTTGTGTTTGCTTGAGCTCTGGCAGTAAGCTGTGCTGCCTCTTTGGAGATCATTTCCTCATTAGTGTGATGGGCAAAGATTGCAGGTAGGGGACCAGCAGGATGTCATCTACTGAGAGGCCTAACTTTAACAAGTGCTCAGTACATCCAGTCATCCATGTCTTAGTGGATTGTGGGGGCTTTTCAGCACGTGTGGTATGCTCCTGACACTGTGTCCCTGCCTCATCTGGGTGTAAAACCATGCCAAGGCTTTGGTATTTAGAGGGAACCTGGACCTTCTTTCCAGATCCTCTGCTCTAAAGAAGGCCTGACAAATATTTTTATGTCCCTGTCTGAGGTGGCAGGAGGTTTACTTAGTGCTAAGAGCTCTGAAGAAATCTGGCTTCCACTGATACAGCACCTACTGCTGTTGGTAGATGCAGGGAGTATCTTGCTCCTTGCCAGTCACGTTGCTTCCAAGGAGTCTGTCGCAATCTGGGAAGAATACACTTGGTGCTGGATATCTCCACATGTTCTGTAAGACTACAGCGGTTAGTGATCTGCTCCATTTAATTTGCAGGCAGTTTTCTTGTTGCCTCTTTGCTAAGAGCTGATGAATTTGAATACCCAGTAGACCCTCTATCCTGGGACAGGATTCCAGCCACCTAAGAAGTTGACTTCAAAGGTATTTTCCATCTCTGAACACTTTGATCCCATGACCTCATACCTGAGTTAGCCATAAATGATCTCTCAGGCATTTGCTTTCATTTGTATTGACAAACCCTAGAAACTCTTAATTCATTTATATGTTTTTCTGTGCCTAACTCACAGTATCTGGGGAGGCCTACCAAAAATTAACTAGGAGGAAGGGGCTGTGCTTGCTACTTGCAAGTGCAGTTGATGTGACACATCCGTACCTGTTGTTCAGAGAGGCTACCAATGGGCAGTGCCTCATGGTGTATAGAAATAACCTTGTGTGTGTTGAGGCATACAAGGTCTTTCTCCAGCTGTCACATGTGCTCCCCAGAGAGCTATCAGCATTTTGCCCAAGGGCTTCCCTTGCTCTTGTAATATCAACATTTACTGCTTTCCTATCATTACCAATTTAAATAACTCTTGGCATTTTATCATCCAGATGTGGCCAGAAACAACCAATATGGAACACCTTGTAAAAATAATGGGGGGTGAGAACAGGTAGTTCAGAGAACAAAGCTATGACTTTTATCATTCCTTGGAGGAAATCACATTGTCATGAGCTTCCATTTTAGCTTCTATGTGGGGCGTGGAAGGTCCTGTGGTTTATGCTGAACAGAAGGGCTTGAAAGCAGTACAGCCTAGTGATCAGAGAACTCCTGCAACCTGGATTCTTCTAACTAGCATATGGCCTTGGGCAAGTCACTTGGTGTTGTGAGGTCCAGCTTCCCACTTCCCCAGCAGAGCCAGAGGCTTTGTTCATCTGAGGTATGACTTACACAGTGATCCTGCAATATCCTGCTCTTAACAAAACTAAGACGACCTTTCCCTTCTGTTTCATTTTTAGTATGTTGAGGAACACCTTCAGAAACATCATGCTGATGAATTTGCACTGCCCTTGCTGTTATTTGAGCTCTTTGGGCAGCACTAGCAGTAATGCAGAGTGGGACACTGGAGTGACGGGGCTATGCTGAATTCAGACGATTGAACTGAGCAAGTCCCTTTTTGCCGTGCTCAGCAATAACAGAAGGGTTTGGTGGAGCCTGTGTTAGGATCCTCTGCTGAAAAAATGCAAGGAATTTGTGTTACGAGCCTAGCACAGACACGAACGTTGGCAGCCTTTGGAGTTTCCCGCCCATCTCTTTTACTGGTCTCTGCAGTGATGAGGTGATCATCTGCTGAGGGTGGTCAGTACTTCTTGATGCTGATCTGCACTGATGATTTTCTTTGGTTGACTCTGGAAATTATTATATTTTCCACTGAAGTGCTGCAGCAGGGAAAAGCACTGACCGTTTTGCGGTAGGCAGGAAAATCACACATACCACTGTAGTTAGAATAAGTGTATCAGCAGCTTCAGCCACTTGTCCAGTATCTTCATCTGTAGCAGGCAAATTTATAGTTTCGGTCTGAATTTATTCTTGTCTGCAAGAGAAGCGAAGCCAGGGAGAACAGAATGAACTCTCTGAGGAAGCATGCACAGTACATCTCTGACAGGCTGCTCCGAACTAACCCGGAGTGGAGCTTTCTTCTGTGGACACTGTGAGGTCATCAGGTGGCTAAAGGTACCTTTTGAAACAGAGGTACATCTGTCACCTACCTAAAAGCGTCTCACAAATGCTAAGGAAAGCCTTAGACCTGTGGATGTTTCTCTGTGAAAATATTGTCTTTCAACATGAGCGGGCTTTCTTAATGCAACAGAAGATCACCAACATTTCTTTTCCTCTCATCTTCCCTAGTTTTAGATAAAAGTTTTTGCATGATAGACTTGAGAAGACTGGATGGAAGATTTTTGTGGACAGATTTTTTTTTTTTCTTCTTTGCCTTTTCTGCTTCTTTTGCCAGAAGTGTTCTTTTACAAGTGCTCTATGAATAAGCGAAGGAAAGAGAGCGCAAAGGAGAGAGTTTTTAGGGTAAACCTTTTCCTCACTAAAACAACTCAAAAAGAGCAACAACAACAAATTTTTCCGCAGTTTTAGAAAATTTGAAATAGATCAATTGCCTGTCAATGTTGTTCATGTTGATGAATTTCCGCGTTGGAGGGACAGGCTGCAAACAGAAGTCTAAGGAGGGATGGACAGCAGCTGGGAGAATGGGTCACAGTGCCATCACCTCAGATGGCCCCTTCGCCTTCCTCCAGTGATTAACAGGAGGTGGCTCCCTGCAATGATTACTGTGTTTTAAGCAGCTTGGTCTAGCTTGGAACAATTACCCGGCTGCCTGGGCGCCGAGAGCACAAGCTGTGGGCTTTGCTGTCTTTGCAATATTAGCCAAAACCAGTGTGATCCAAGACAACTGGAAGCCAACGCTGTTGAACATCATCTCTTATTTGGTTCTGGGAGACTGAAGATGCTGGTGGTTTCTGAGATCAGTTAGCAGTTCTTTGAGAAGAATGACCAGGCTGTCGTGTTCACTTTGCTGCCTTTTACTGTTAAAGGTCCCCCTACAGTGGTCTTTATGCATAGTTAGCCTTTTAAACCTTCCTGCCAAAGATTCAGCCAGTACAGATAGTGACTCTAATGCAGCAAGTTTGTTTGACATCAGGGCTAATTAGCAATTATCCAAATCTTGGAGCAAGCTCTTTCAGACCCGATTTTTTTTTTCTTTTTTTTTTTTTTTCCCCTCCAAGCAGGCTAGGCATAAAATTCCATCTGCCTAATTTGCAAAAGCAATTGCTTTAATTATGCATCCAGATTGGGAAAGTGTATGCTCAAAAAGATAGATAGCTAATTCTATGCATGTAAGATGATAATGCATATACAAATTAGCTGTATCCTCCAAAGCCTGCACCATCTCAAAACCTGCCCCCTCTGAGGATAACTGTTTTAAAAGAAGAAATCCTTTCCTCTTGCAAGTTTACAGCAGCCAAGACAGCCTGTACACCAGTTTAGTCTGTTTTGTTTCTTTTGCTCATGCAGTTGTGTTTTACACAAAGGGTTAATTTTGTTTGCCCAGAGCTAACTCCTGCCAACAAGGACCAGAACACAAACGTTAGATGCTGTGAATGTACCTGCTGCTACATTCAAGAAATTTTCTGCCCCAAGAGATGGCAAGTGCAGGGAAGTGTGATAGAGCAGGGGGAGCTGAGGGAAGGAGAACACAGGAATGTGGATCGTGATAACCGATGGTGAAGACAGTGGATGGAAGGCTGGGGAATGAGCCAGAGAGCTCAGCCAGGTGCATCAGCAGCCTCTGCTCTGCCTTGCCAATGTTCTGCCCTGACTTCATTTATTGGCATTGTAATAGCAGACCCTGGTACTGGTTTTCCTCGCACCCCGTGTAGGTCACCCAGTAATCATCCTGAGACTTGGTTCCTAAAGCTCCAGCCTGGTGGTGGTTCTCCTGCCTGCCTGGATCTGGTGCTGTCAAACTGATCTCCCTGGATGATTGTGCCAGGCCTTGCTTTGTCCTCATGGTTTCTTTCTTTCCTTTTTGCCCAGATGAGCAACAAAAGGTCAAATAGTTTCCGCCAAGCCATCCTTCAGGGGAACAGGAGGCTGTGCAGCAAGGCACTGCTGGAGGAAACGGGGCTGAGCCTTTCGCAGAGGCTGATCCGGCATGTTGCATACGAGACCCTGCCACGAGAGATAGACCGCAAGTGGTACTACGACAGCTATACCTGCTGCCCTCCACCCTGGTTCATGATTACCATCACTATCGTAGAGGCAAGTACTTTAACTCCCTCTCTCTGGGAACCCACACCACACTGCCAAAGGCTTTGCTGGGGCATGATCAAGGGCTAGAGTGGGACTCGTTTAGACCCAGACAAGGACTAAGCTGATAGCTGTTTTGGCCTACCTGTATATGTGTGCCTAAGCGGAGACTGTGATCCTATCTGTCTCCAAGTGTAGTTATTAGTCATTGAAACGATTTGTATATGAAACTACAGAAATTGGGGAACTATAGCAAAGATTTTTGAGGTGTGAAAATCTGAACAGTTCTAGGGAAAGTGGTAATTCAAATAATGGAATTAGAAGAAAAATTCCTATATGGTTACGTCTGTTCTGTGACTGGAAAGAAAAAGGAGGAAAGAGAAACTGGAATAAACATTCTGACCTGCTCATCTGTTGCCCAGATGAGATCTTTGCACAGTTGCTGAGTGATGCACTGGAGTAAGCACAGAGAAGGTTATAATATTGCACTGATCAGCAGGGTGCTGAGTTCCTCTGACTCAGTGGCTGGTGTGTTACAGAAAGCCATGTATGATTATACCAATGTGTTGCAGGTTCATCAAAACAGGGAACTCATGCTGTGTGAAGCTGTCAAGTGGGAGAAAAATTATTGTACATTTGACTTTCTTCTCCATGATTTTGAGCTACAAAGTGCTTTTCAGAGAGAGAAGGCATTTGCTAACCAAGGAATCTCCCTGCTCTTCTAGGTTGCCTTTTTTCTTTACAATGGAGTGGTATTAGACAGATTTGTGCTGCAAGTCACCCATCCCTTGTACCTGAAGAACGCATTACTTTACCATCCTCAGCTCCGTGCTCAGGCTTGGAGGTACCTAACCTACATATTCATGCATGCAGGGTGAGTACTTACAAACTGCGGAGATTCCCTACAGTTCAGGTTCCCCAGAGAGAGAGGGAGGAGGAGAAAGTGGCAGAATCAGCTCAGAAATAAATTTTTAAAAATCAATTCTCAATTGTGTATAAAAATCTGAAGCTGTTGTGGAGTGTTGGGCAATGAGGGGCAAACCTTTGCAGCTCTGTGAAGGGAGGAGGCAACATATGGAACTTAACAGATGCTGCTCTTCTCCCCAGCAGTGTTGGGACCACACCTTCCTCTTACTGTGCACTTCCCAGTGTGTGCTTCCTAAAACTCACCAGATCGAAGCCCAGTGTCCCTCTAGAGGAGCTGTGCAAGTGGTAGAACAAGTCTGCAAAGATGCTGGACTGGTATTTAAAAACTACGTAGTGTATTGCTAGACTTCCTAGTTGAGGTTGGAAAAGTCAATTACATTCCCTGTGCCTATGGTATGTCATCACTTAGTAATGTCGTCCCTTCTGTAGGGACTGAGATAATGCCTAGAAGCCTGAGTCAAGATTGAACTCCCATTTTGTATGCACTGTACAAAAACCAGTGTTCCTGAAGAGCTGACAATCTCGGCTGACCAGATGGATGGAGAATGGTCCATCTAACGCAAAATGAAGGTGCACAGTAAAATGAATCCTCCTTCATCCTAAGGGAGGTATGTAGCAGACTTGGGAAGAGAATACAAGACATGGGGATTCTAACTCTGTGCTTCTCGACTGTGCTAGTCCTCCCAAGATTCAAAGAGACTTAATTGTGTGATGTTTGTGATGCCATGGTGATGAGTGAGTGTCACAGGAAAGTTCATTTCTGTACAAAACACCCTATCCCCTCTCAGTAGTTTCTCAGATCATTATCTTCACACTTTTCTGGCAGATAATTGCAATTTTCTTTAATTCTGTCATTGAAAAATCACAGCAACAAGCTTTTTAGCAGTAGTTTATAGTTTGAAACTGGATAAAGACCCTTTGTTCTTAAATAGAAAGCCTATATTCCCATCAGTCAATGTTCTCCTATGAAAGGCCAGAAAGATCAAGCTGATCTTTTCCTTTTTCTGTGTCTCTGATGGAAGACATGCTGATGCCTCTTCTCTGCTGTGGAATAACTGCCTCGGTATGTAATTGCCCTTGAGCACAAGATGTGCCCCAGATCTCTGGATAAAAATCATAGGACAGAACAGACTCCACCTAAGGGGAGAGTAGGAGAAAATTTATAGGTGAAACTTCTGAACGTGGCAACATCTGTGCTCTGCATGCTATATCCCTCCAAAAAGTCCATTGTTTACAGGTTTCAATCTGCAAGTGGAGACTGTTGGGCTTAGATGTGAGACTGGTTATGTAAAACGAGAATTGGAAGTTTCCATTGTTGAGGACGTGGGGAAAACTGGGCTTGTAAAAGGAAGAAAGGTTTGATTTTAACTAATGTTAGCTAATTTGTATCTGGGTTTTCTTCTGGCAGTGGTGGTGTTCTACTATATCACTTATGTAACCGCAGATTGCTTTGGGATACATTTGAAGAGAAGCACCTGCACAAGGACAATTTTTGCAGCGTTTAAATGTCATCCAGTATCACCTGTGGCATGCTTTCCTAACCTGTGCAAGGTCACCCTTTCCTGTAGCGGGCATTACTTTAGCATTCTTCTCACTTACTGGCTGAAAAATATCTCAGGTTTATTTCACATCTGTGGCTGGCTCAGAGGTGAACAGTGGGGAATGCGGTGTGCAGGAAACTCATTGTTTTTTGTGATGGATTCCAAGTTCTTTAGCTACCTAGCCTTCAAAACAATGGAGAGTCCTGCTGGAACAATAAGCCCCATGATTTATCTGCAGTATCTGGAGTTAGGCTAAATGTTCATTTATTGCTAACTTCTGTGTGTTAAGCTCCTTTCATATCAGGAGAACAGATAAATCTTGGAAAGGTAATAACGTTTGTTAGTGGAAGCCCATCATTCTCCTCTCGTTTTCAAATGAGAGGCTAACACAATGCCATGGGGTCTATTGTTATCCTGCTTCCAGCTGAGACTTTAAAATGGTAATGTGGACTGCTCCTTAATTTAGTGCACTCGGTCTGTTTTTTTGAAGAGCAAGTGACAGCCAGAACGTGTCCGAGAAGACAGCAGTTGCTAAGGCTTGGCTGGCTGTGCCTCTAGAAGGATTCCAAAAATGCATGGGCTGTGTGTTGGTCCTGATGGAGGGAGCTTTGTCAAGGGCTGAAAAAGCACGCAAAGTTGTAAATTCTGCCCTTCTGCTTTCACGGAAAGCAGACGTTGACTATTTGGGGCCCACGCATTTGTAACACTGCCATAACTAATGACTTGCATTGATGCTCAGTCCCATTTGTTTGGTCCCGGGGAAGGAAAAAGTCTTTAATAAATCAATGAAATTGTCATTTCAAGAATGACGCATTCAGCACTGGCAAAGGCTAATTATATTTTATGGGTGCTTATTGACTGTCGAGCCTTCAAAATTCTTAGCATGATGGGGTGGAGAAGTGAATGGAATTGCTCCTGGAAAGTCTTTTAAGAACAGCTGTGAATCAGGGCAGTCACTTCAGAGTCTAGGATAAATTTTGCCAAGCTCCTACAAAAGCTTCTTTTGAAAAATAAGACCCAGTGCTTTGTGTGAAAATGTCAGGTGCCGCCTCATGACGTTGACTGTGTGCCAGCCAAAGCTTCTTCCCTCCCCTCTGTAAAAGGGCACTTGGATGCTTTGACTCTTTTCTGTGATCTCAGTTTGACCTTTGCTGGTTGTTCCTAATTTAGTTCCTAAGCTCTGTGAACATGCAGGATCAGAATGGGTGCCAGAACATGCCCATGCCCAGTGGCTTCAAAAGTCTTGAGCAAGGTAATAAAAACACTCAGTTACATGCAGCAGTTTCCTGTGATGACAAATTGCAGTGCTGAGTGTCTCATGCAGGAGAGAAATTTATCCTTGGAGAGAAATTCCGTGGAAACAAACCTATTAAGATACCCGGAAAGGACTGTTTCCTGCAGTATCATTTCTAGCAGTTTTTTCTGGTCCAACTTTAAATTCTCATTTTTGAGACAGTTCTGTCGTTACTGCATCTCACCATCAGTGCTTTTCTTTGATGTATATGGGAAATTGCTATGGTAACATGAAGAAAGACCAAAACAGTGAAAATGCATGTAACTTAAACCAAAGATTGCTAGTGGCTGTCAGCGAGCAATCCTTTTCTTGTATAAAATAGGATGTAGATTTTCAATGCCTTAGCTATTTTGCGCTCTTTCCCCCAAAAGATGCTAGCCTTCTGCGTTAAAGGTACCCCTGTGTCATTTAGGTCCACCTGCTTTGTAAGCAGATTCGGGCACTCTTCATACAGAGAGCACTATACCCCGGGTCCAGTGTGATGTGACCATTCAGCAAGGGCACAGCCCTGTGAGCCCAGCATAAATCTCGGACACTAGCACAGTGTTGAGAGGGACCCTGTTCAGGGGCCTGGTGCTGCTGTTACATCGCTGGAAGATCCTGCAGATGGCAAAGGCGCGCGGGTAAATATTTGTATAGAGCTTTGAAAAGAAGCAAGACAGTTTTGTTAAGTACTATTGATTAGAGCAACAAAGAACTTGCTTTGAAACTATTGATTCAGCACAGGAGAAAACTGCTGCACTAGAGTCTTTATCAAATATGCACGTCTTAGCTGTCACACTGTCTACCTCTAGGCTGCAAGTGGTCCTGCACATCCTGATATGCACAGCAGGGTTTTCTACAAGACTAGTCTCAGCCTAGCTTTTACCATTCTGT